GTTGAGTGTTATTTAACTTTGTTGTGGTTGCTGCTGTTGTTGTGTGTGTAGGCTGTGTTTCTTTAATGTGTTTGCATTAGAGCACACATGCAAATAAGCCTCTCATTGCACTTGTGCACATGGTCAATTAACTGAACCCTGAGCCCTGAGCAATGTGCCCTGTGCCCTGTGTCCTGTGCCCTGAGCCCTGAGCCCTGAGCCCTGAGCCCTGTGCCCTGTGCCCTGTGCCCTGAGCCCTGAGCCCTGAGCCCTGTGCCCTGAGCCCTGAGCCCTGTGCCCTGAGCCCTGTGCCCTGAACCTTGTGCCCTGTGCCCTGAGCCCTGAGCCCTGTGCCCTGAACCTTGTGCCCTGAGCCCTGAGCCCTGAACCTTGTGCCCTGTGCCCTGTGCCCTGTGCCCTGAACCCTGAGCCCTGAGCCCTGAGCCCTAAACCTTGTGCCTTGAGCCCTGAGCCCTGAACCCTGAACCCTGAACCCTGAGCCCTGTGCCCTGAGCCCTGAGCCCTGAGCCCTGAGCCCTGAGCCCTGAGCCCTGAACCCTGAACCCTGAGCCCTGTGCCCTGACAGCCTGGCAGCTCATGCAGTTGCCTGAGGGAGACGCTAGGATCTCTGCAGCGTGGAACAGCAAGGTGATTCCCTGTTTTTTTTTTTTGGGATGCGTGAGGGGTGTTCCCAGGAAGTAGCACCTGATGGGTGTGCACCCTCTCGCTATTGGGGTGTCCTGTCCTTCCCCCCACAGACCCAGCCGGAGCCAGCCAGGTCTCCTGCAGGCTCTGCGTGCGGGACCCCAGAGCCCAGAGCGCGGAGAGACACGGGTTCGAGAGCAGAGAGACCTGCCGCCTGTCGCGCCGCATCCCCAGCCGGCCCCGCTTCCACCCCCCTCGCCCCCTGCAAGCTACACGCCAGGTCTCACTCCGCAGCTCCTACTCGTACACGTCATTCTGTCCGCCCCCCCGCCGGCCCCTGTTCCGGGGTCTCCGGGCCGAGCTGCGGTGGGAGCCCCCCCCGTCCCCGGCACTTGAGCGCGAGAGGCGTCTGGAGCCCTGTGTTTGTACAGCGGGGCAGACGGCGGGGTG